TAGTGCGTGAGACTGATTCCCACCAGTGACCGGCTGCTCCAACCAACATGAATTCTGCGCATAGTACCTTCTGTGCGTTTGTACAAGAAATGTGTCGAAAAATACGCTCCAGGCCTCTAATCCACTCTTCAACAGCCAGTGGGTCGGAATTACCGTCGAATGTAGGAGGCTTGTACCTACGAAACTGCTCAACTATAGAAATCGCTCCAGGATCGAATGGAGGTGTATCTTGCTGTGGTGGTGCATTTTGCGGTGAAGGAGCTTGATTCTGTCTGGTCAACTCTTGCACCGCTTGCAACAAGTCACGCATCAAATTTGCATGGGTAGGTGGGGCCATTTCCTAAAAATTTAAGTTATTCGTCACACACCAATACTAAATCTAACATTTATGCCTATATATCATAATTTAGCGGGTCAACAAACGGCGTGTCTCGAATTTGAAAGTAGGCAATTTAAAATATTTAAGTTATGCAAAAAAAAAAAAAAAGCGTTTTCTTACCCTTTTACATACCTCAGAGTCGTCGGATGGTGGCTGATTGGTGGTCGTTGAGTACCAAGGGTCATTCTTATTTTTACGATTTATTATTATTATTTTTTTTTAAACCAATCCATGAAAAATTATAATTCGTAGTGTAATCCACAGTCATATGCTTACAATATCTGTTGAATAAATTCATTTTGTATACTGCGGAAATAAAATCATATTAATAATATCTTAGCTACTAAAACAATCTTGAGGGTCGCAAAAACAACTAATCATATATGATTCTAAAAAGATAATATTTGACTGGATGCATGAAAGATTATCTAAAATTTGACATCATGTTCCTAGGACATATATACTTGAATTCCTAAATCAGTAGAAGTCTACAATTATATCTTACATTTATTTAGAAACAATTTTACATATGACTAAATCATTAACCAACCCGTTAAGGTAAATGACACATACTAAAAAAAAAAATGCATGCATCAATCAACGTTTAATAGATAAAATAATTACTAAACATAATTTTTGTTTTTTTTTTTTTAGAGAAATCGGCAAACTATTTATCATTCTTAGCATACAGAATATTGTACGTAAAGTCCTAATCAAATGTCAAACAGTCAAAATATTTGATTAAATTTTTAATTTTTTTTTTTAAAATACATTATATAGTGCACACACGCCTTTTTATGTTAACACACACATCAAGACACGTGCATACACTATTATATATGTAAACATGAATATGCACACAGACAAAAAGAAAGATTTCCTGGACATAGTTTGAAATATAAAATCATTATTTTAATGTTAATCAATTAAAATATAATGATTGCGTTGAATTCAAATTCAACAATTCAGTAAAATAACATTAAAATCTCATACCTTATTTCAACTCACAATTTCCAGAATCCAATCCGGTGCAATCGTTACGATTCCGACACAAATATGTAGGAAAAGTGAGTAATTTAGTAGGTCATTGTGACAAGAACTCGATACTCTATCCCTTTTAATGTAAAATTATATTTTTAGAGTCTGCAGAATCGATTTTATAACTCTGGGCTCTGATACCAAACTGTAACGACTCAAATATTTTTGTTTTTTATTTTATTTTATTTGAGTTTAGATCGCAACCAAAATTTTCTTATTAAAGGAAAGGAATTTAAAACCCGCATCGCATGCAATGTATAACATCATGTGACAATAGTTTACTAAAATTTACTGTAGAGAAATTTTTCAAATCTCATAATTATTTATTCTCTTAAAAATGAAGACTTTTCCCAAAACCATAATATGTTCTTACATGTTTGGATATATCTCAAATTCTTAAATAAATCCTAGAATTCAATTTTATGTGTAACTGAGGAATTCCAACAACAACATATATACAAATATGCAATTTCGGTGACTTAGTCCAATGAAGCATAATACCCGTAACTAATTTATAATTTAAACACTGGGATCATAATTGGTAAAAAAAATAATTTTAAAAATAATTTTATGGATTTGGCGTAAGTGGCAGGCAAATGAAGATTTTTTTCAATTTCTCTGGCATAATTGATACAATGGTCCCTAACACTATGTTTCCTCTAATTAGTGGATAATTTTAATTAGCTACTTAATTTTATCGAATTCAACCAATAGTTAAATCACATGCAGGGTACTAATTGAATATGAGAAATCAAAATTAAAACAGGTTGTAATTTATATATTAGCCTAAGTGTACAAGAAATTGGTTCACGATAATATGTACTATAGATCAAATCAAATAAATTGTCTAATTCATTAAAAATGAAAGTGGTTTGTAAATAAACACCACTAAGATTATTGCTGGAAATAAAATGTTTAGTCACGTTACACCGGAATTTATTTATTGAGTTTCATAAACCTTGGCACAATGACCGCACCATATCGCCCGCCAACTAACGACCCATTCTAACCTGTGAGGAGTAGGGAAAATGGGTGAGTATGTGGGAATACTCAATAGGACATGAGTATCGTGCAATCCCGAATAAAAATATCAATTCATGCGTCAAAATAATCATACCGTCATATCATATCTTTAGACTCCGGTAAGAGCTCATATCATATCATTTATACCGGGTTGTCATTATCATATATCATATCATAATGTGTAAAGTTCATTAGCATAATATTTATCAACAAGAAATAATAAGATTAAACGGGACAAACCACTTGCACCTCGAAATCCTACCTCGATGGATAAGAAGAATTGTTGGAAGAATAGCAATTACTTCACGTTCCCAAAGCCTTATCTCTATTGCCGTGTCTATAAGTGTATTTTGTCCGGTAAAAAAAAAATATCATCCCTCTATTAATTCCAATTTAATGTTCTTATTTAAGGTATAGAATAATCATTCCATGTAAATATCCACGTGAGCCACCTAAAATTCTTCTATCACAATATATATGGACACTCAATTGCTGTAAAATGGCCTAAAGTTACTCAATCATTCAATTTTATAAAGGCACACGTGTTTGACAACTAATGAATTCCAAAAAGGTCAACTTAGTTAATTTTATAATAAAGGACATTCTTTGAACTCTATATTTTTGGGCCTAACTATTTTGATTAACCTTTTTTTTTTTGGTTAAAAATTTCTAATTAATTACAAGTTACAAAAAGAGTCTAATATTGGTATACTAAAACTTGCTCCATTAAATCTAATTATTTGACTCAAAGAAATGAGAATTTAAAACAATTAATTCTATTCTATAAAATTTTTCAGGGCTTTACAATGGGTATTGAGACATTACCATGCATTTGAATTTTATGAATATTCTTCAAATATTCCAATTTGTTCTTGCATGTCCAAACAAATGCCATAATTAACTTCCACCCATTTAATCCACTTTAAACTTAGTGTATATCATCCTTATATTTAGTGTAAGGGTTTTATATCTTTCCTCCTTCATAGATATCTTTCTATGATTATAAGATTGAAGCAAATGTAATTGCTAAACTGAGTTACCCCTATAATTCCTCAATTAAGAATACATATGCAATCTAGTAATGTTGCATCCACAAGTTTTGAACTTGTCATTCAAGTTCACGAGCATTTATGATAGCTCCCCACATCTTTGGGTTACAATTGAACTTAGGATTCAGCAATTCTTTCATAGTTCAATTCATTTATCTCTTAGTTAATATCCTTGTCGAGTTCTAAGTGAAACTCTAAGTACTTTCAAAATAGTGGTCGTCGATTCACAATTATCATAGTTCTATCCAATTATCTTCATTGGATCATCCAAATTAAATCAATGCCATCATATAGACCAGTGATGCATTCCAAGCATAAACTAATTTAATTGATCTCACGATTGAAGTCAATTTCAACAGTGAAGAGGGCTAAGCATCTTGATTCACAAGAATTACAACTTTTCTGATCACATTTGTGACGTTTCACATGATAGTTTCATTTCATATCAAATAATAAGGTACATATTCACCATATTCAGATTTAAATGAACGAATCAACCATAGGTTGAAAAGTTGTGTTCTCAAGAGATACAACCCTACAAAAAGACAGACCTCTTGAATTAATTTCTATTAAGAGACACACCCATTGGAAAATAATCATACCAAATGTCATGATTATTTATACGAAAAGACACATTTTCATTTCAATTGATCTTAGAATATTTTATAATATTCTTCACAATTTTTGCATAACATGATTTTTATCCTTAACAAAATGTCATTTTACAGTCATTATACCCAAGGATATCTGGCACCACTATTAACTACAGACACCATTTGTGCTCTATAAAATATTTACATATCCCAATAATTAGACAAACAATTTTATTTTAAAATAATTTGCCATCAAAATATTACCCATTTAACCATATGGGTCCAACCAAAGGAACATACAATTTCCTCCATGAGATAATTTTTTTTTTCATGCAATTGTACTTGTTCAAATTCATGGTAAGACACACATTGGCGGCATTTTTGGCCATTCAACCATAGAACCATTATCTATCATTTATTGAATTAAATGAATTATACAAATCCATAGAGTCGGCCCTGACAATTCGAAGACCCTAAGCGAGTTGGCAATCTTGAGGCCCCATACTTTGTTTTTCTACACGTATAACAATATTTAAATAAAAAAATATCTATATTTAAATGAAAACTTTGTACAATCTAAAAGATGGAATTGCTAAATAAAATATCACTTACAATCTGAGAGATTAAGCTCGCATCGTATTTAGTCTTCTCAAGTTTTGAGATGTAAAATTAGTAATCAAACAACTCAAATCAAGTTTTTCCAACATTTTTTTTCAATAGAAATCATAGCTAATCCATTCAACCTCTCTTGTGACATGGTTGATCGAAGATAAGACTTAATCAATTTTAACTTTGAAAAACTTCTTTCAGCGAACACAACAGTGACTGTGATAGTCAATAATATCCTGTAAGCAATCCAAGCATTTGCAAAACAACAATTCATTCTCTTAATGTAATCTAACACATCAGCTGCTCCATTCATTTCTGTAGATATTACTTCTCTTAAAACTTTCAACTCAAAAAATAATTCCATTCCATCGATATCAGATATTGTGTTATGCTTCAAATAATTTTCAAGATTAATGCAACGACACTTCAATGTAGCATCATCAATGGATTTAAATTTTTCCAAATCAAATAAAAATCTAAAAATATCGACATATTCCTGAAATTGTTCAAATATATTTTGAAGTGATGATAGAGCTTGATTTACTACATATAAGAAATAATTGACCCTGAGAGATTTTTCAGCTGTTTCTGTCATCTCTTCACAAGAAATCTCATCAAACTGCTTCTTTCTACGTGTAACTCTTTTTTCACGAAATATCAGTCCAATGTCTAATTCACTTACAATTTCTTTAGCATCAATCACGGCTGATTCAACCCAGTTTCTCTATAGCTTTTGAAAAATGAAATGAACCTTTTTAAATGGTCTATAGCAACATCAATATGGATGTCCTCTGTTTGCAAATGTTTGCTTACTCTATTAACATTATTCAACACTTCATACCAAATAACAATCCCAAGTAAGAATTCAAAATTCTCTATTTCATATATTGCCAAACACTCCGCCTCACTTTTTGTCTTAGGATCATCAACTCTTGTCAATTCAAGTAGAGATTTCTTATTTGTGGAGCTTGAAATCTTATTGCTCTAATACTTTCAACATGACTTTCCCAACGTGTTTGAGACAAAAGCTTAAGAGTAAGGTCATTTATATTATCTTTAAAAAATTTCCATCTTTTAGTAAATGATGAAAATAGAGTGTATATACGTTGCCCCACTCCAAAGAAAGATTTAGCTTTTGTACAACAAGTAGCCATATCACAAAGTGAAAGATTGAGACTATGACACTCACAAGGAGTGTAAAATGCTCTAGGATTTACTTGTAGTAGTCTATTCTGTACCCCTTTATATTTTCCTCTCATGTTAGCACCATTATCATATCTTTGACCCCTTATATTATCGATATCAAGCACTAGATTATTCAACTCATTCACTAATTCATCAAAAAGTCCCTTTCCAAATGTATCATCCACCAATAAAAATCCTAAAAGAATTCTTCTGCCTTCACTGGGCTTGCTAAAATATCAACACACCTCAATACTATAGACATTTGTTCTTCGTGACTCAAATCTGGAGTGCATCAAGTATCACAGAAAAGTACTTGGATTCTTTGAGTTTCTCGATGATTATTTTCTTGATCTCACCCGCTAGCATAAGTATCAACTCATTCTGAATTCGACGAATATGCTCTTGCATTACAGGATCAAACTCAACAATCATTTGAATTAAGTTTAAGAAGATACCATTATTTTCTCGGTATATCTTCTCATTATCTCCACGAACCTCCAAATTTTTTTCTGCAAGAGTTCTAACCACGGATATTATTCTCAACAATACTTGTCTCCAATGTTCTCTATCCTTATTGATTTGTTCCTGCACACTTTTATCAATTTTTTGTTCCTTTTGAAATCTTATTTTCATTTCGATCCATCTACTCAAGTTAGTGAAATGGTCATAACTCACTTCATGTGTTCTTAGTTTTTCACCAATATTTTTCCAATCATTTGCACCATCACGTGCCAATTGAGTTTGAACCCCATCATTCTTGAATAGCTCACAATAAAAACAAAATATTTTATTTAGACTTTTTGAATATATCAACCATTTTCTATCATGATTCTCTCCATTGGGTAATCATCAAGTGTAATGAACAGAGGAGAAGTGTCGATTAGCTACATCTTTTGGAAAAATTACGTCATTATCTCTTACTAGACCTTTCATTACGATTAAATCTCTCAAACTTTGATTTATATTTTTCCAATTCGCTGGATCAATAATATCAAAGGAGAATGGTTCACTAATCTTTTCATTGATGTTTCTTTCATCCATAACATCATCCTCGATAGATATTTCTTCATTCACGAGACAATGATATTTTTCAATTGTATTATCGCTGATATCATTCTTATTAAACTCTTCTTCGGGAACTACATCATCATTATGTTTTTGTTTACTACCACTAAAAATTTTATCAAGGGCTCCCTCTTGAAATTTAATCAATCATTCAACCTTCTTATACTGTTTTCTTTTAGAATATCTAGATTCAAATTTTCTAGTGAACATAATTAAAGCAAATAACGGTAGAACCTGATTCAGAGTTCAAATTAAAGTATTCCAGATTCTCAAATATTCCAAGTGTATGAATTCAACAATCAACCTGCAAGAAATAATAAATGAACCAAGTTATATGAGAATAACAGGTTGAAGTAAGTCAACAGCACAAAAACTGAACTATGCCAGCTATGTTCAACTTATGGACATTTATCCTTTTAAGAGTCCAAACTCGATGCCATAAAAGATAGCTTCTGACTTATGTAGAGTTAAACCATAAAGGGATTAGGATATTCCTATCTCACGAAAGTCATGTAGTAGCACTTATTCATTTTTCCAGTTGTATATTCTTAATGTCTCAAAAATGTTGTTTTATACTTGCTTAAGTTACTTTTTTAATAACTTTCAATTTCAGGTATCGGAGGATTTTCATATTGGTACATTTACTAGAATAATAATCTCTATAAACTCAAATAATTGATGAGAAAACTAATTAAATCGAAAGGAGGATAATCATACTATTTAAAATCGAAAATGACAGTTGTTGTTGAATGTTGATTCCTAATCGGCTACTAATCCTAATAAGATTATCCTATATAACCAGTAATGCTAAATCCTCGCATTGAATTCTTTTATTTTCATATCGAAGGTTGATATTTTCTGTTCTCTAGTGTTGAGCCTAAAGTACATAAATTCTCAATGTTAAATACCAGCACAACTAAGAATGAAATGAGAGACAGGAACATATATGTAAAAATCGACCATTTATATAGCACCTTCGCCTGAGTTCTTTTATTTTGAAACCAAAACTTTATCTGTTTGGGATCAAGTGCTAGCTCCCTGCTCAATTGACGCGTCTGATTTTCATCTGGATATGGGCATTCCTTAAAGAACCTGCACAATTTCCATCACTCAGGAGCAAAATATTCATGGTTTCAATAGAATAAATAAAAAATAATTCAGGGATTTGAAACCGTTAAAAATGAAAATCTAAAACAGTTTATCAAAGTATTTAGTTCTGTACATATGCAGCCCCAATCAGATAGTTCAATATTAATTGCAGCATCAAGAAAGTTGTAACCATTACCTGTTATTAAAAATATGAAATCTCTTACTACTTTTAGCAAAATTAACCTAGACTAAAATATTCTTTAATAATCAGAGAGCTTCTTGCCGCTTCGAGAGTTTGAGGTCTGCTCATTACTTGATCCAATTCCTCCAGTAACCACCAATGGCCCCAACAAAATTTGGAAATCAATTAAAAAGCTGATAGAACTGATTATTAAGAGTAAAATAAATAAAAAAAATACTATTAGTCTATTTTTCATCCCTTTTTCACGGTTTCACTTTCACCATTGATACATTGAACAAACTACCACCATAGTCCATAGCCCATAGGATAAACCAATAAAGGATTAATAATAAGACATTCAAATTAAATATAGGAGCTGGACATCAATTTTACTTACCAAAACAAAGGACCTGATAAGATATAAAAAGGGAATCCGACGTACGAGTCTACGGGAGGCGGATAAATTGGGGTTTTTTGCGTTCGATTTCGATTTCTCGTTCGTTGGCGCTAGTCCCTGGAAGCCCGATTGTTTGGACTCTGGAACCTGGAAGCCTAGAGACTGGAGTGAAGGCCCTGGATTCTGGATTCACCGAACACCGAAACAGAGGATTGAGAGGAATCAGAGGATTAGAGGAAGTCGAATTGAAAAGATAAAAGTCTGGGGCAGTTCGTGTTGTATGTATGTATTGTATACGGACTCCAAATGGACCAAGTCTCCAAAATAATTTAATTCATGTAGTCCAAGACTCCTCCAAGCCCAAAGACCCCAAACCATTTTTTTTTATTTTGAGAATTGGAATTAATATAGATTTTGAGGCCCTGGACCCAAGCCAAAATTTGGAGGCGACTATAACTCTTTTTTAAGATGAATTTGCCTCGCATCGATGCTAACTTTTTTTCAACAATCATCTCCCAAGATACAACGACCACGTCAAGCCATAAGAGTACTTCAAATGACTTCGATCAGCGAACTCAAACGGAATTCCCTCTGTGCCATAACCATGATTTGATGCAAAAGATAATCACTTCTACAAAGTGTTTTATGCATAACAAAGTGTAAAATATGGAATGTAATGAAATTTCTAAATTAATAAATCCAATCATATGGAGAAAGACACTTTTTCAGCCAATCAAAAGTCATAATCTTTCGTATAGAAAGACACTTTTTCAGCCAAATAATTTCTAGAATATTTCATAATATTCTACGCACTTCTTCAATAATTCATATATTTATGTGATTTAAATTTTGGCTTAATTTTTCATTCACCAAATAATACAAAATTTCTAGTAAAATTCCAACAATAAGTCCTTGCCTAAGAGAAGTGTCGTCCAAACAACAGCCAAACACGCCCTTTGACTAATCTGATTTTTCCGATATTTACAAGTCAGACCCTTTTTTTTTTCTATAAATTGCAAATTCAGTCTCTGAATTTTTCAAAATCCACAAATCAGTTCCTCTAACGTTCAGCAAATCGTTCCCAGAGCTATTCAGGTCTCGTGGCAATTGTAGTAGCAGACCCTTCTTTTGAAACTGTTCAAAATGTTTAACAATTAACACAACCTAGAATTAGTAATTTAATAACACTCAAGTACACATCAGCAAAAAAGTTCAGTAAAACTTTCAATGAAAATTGGTCATAGCTTTATTTATAAGTAACAATTATGTCAAATATAAAACTACTCATACATACAATTTACCGAAAGGTACTTATATAAGTAAAATAAACAAAGTTCAGATGCAGTAGGAGAAACCTAACTCTAGGATGGTCGATCTCACTTCAAATACCATGCGTCCATGTGAATCCTAATATGACTTTAATCCAAAAATGACGACCAGAGCTATTTGAATCCTCGAACGTTTTCATTTTGCTGTCGCTGTTGTGATTGAATCCAACAGCACTCTACGTAAATTTTGGGTTTCTCTCAAAACAGATTCCCTGTCGAAAAGAGCAGACACAACCGCAACACCTTTCAGACTCGGGACACCTAATTCCATTACAGGTTGTGCATTTGATATACCAATGCCACCGATGGCAACTACTGGTAACTTGGACGCCAGACATACATTCTTTAGCCCATCTAAGCCAACAGTAATATTGTTTTCTTTCGTGTTTGTTGGATATACGCCGCCACATCCTATGTAATCAGCCCCCTCAATCCAAGCCACCTGAGCTTGCTTTGGTGTTTTACACGAGACACCAATGATCTTGTCCGGCCCAAGAAGAGTGCGAACAACACGAGCGGGCATGTCAGATTGACCAACATGAACACCGTCAGCATCACAAGCAAGTGCAATATCAGCTCTATCATTTATCAGCAGAGGTACACCATGTCGACGACATATTTCCAAGCATGATTTTGCTGCTTCTAGAAAGTCCCTGGTATCAGCATCCTTTTCTCTGAAAATGTTGAAATAATAGACTTTAGCAAAATGCATATTGGATAAATATGAGCTGGACTCTTCTTTAACTTAAAAACAGGACAAGTTTCTTTCTTCTTCTTCCATTTCTTCTTTGTTTTTCCTTTCTCATTTAGACTAAATTGCGGAGGTTCGTTTCCCAGAGAAAATACCGTGATAAACTGAATTAGATATGATAAAATACTCCATAAACCAATCTTAGCCATATAAGTCACAGGTCATGTCCCAAGACCATGCAACTTTTTAGTTCTTTGTTTTTAGCATTAGTTCCACTATCATGTGGGCTTGTTCTCCATCATGTGCCTACAAATATAGATGAATTGTATCGTTTACATTCAAAAAAGAAAAGTTACTCGAATGCTTTTAAGCAAGACAAAGAATTGTATATGTTATTATTCTCCTCAAGTTTGAATAACTTCTTTTAGAGGTTGATTGGTGAGGATTAAAATTAGATTTTTAGTAGATTTAGATAGAAGTTTTTTAAATGTGTGGTTGAAATGTTGTAGAACCCATGAAAGATGTGATTAATATTGATTGTTTGACTTTGACTCAGATTAAAATCTCATCCGAAATTTTTTTTCTCAGATCTCAAGGCCAAGTTATATTGAGTAACAGAAGGTTTTCTATGTTCAGCACCGAGATACTCAGGTCCCAGCCATTGATATATTGGAAGAACTGCATAGTGAGCCAGCTTAGCCATACAAAAATTAGTTAATGATGATTTTGCAGGCAGATCCAAAATCTGGAAAACAAAATTTCCAACATACTCACGCTCACAGATATTAAGGTAAATATGAATAGTTGATTAAAAAAAAAAAAAAAATTAAAACAGATAACTCGTGATAAAACAACAAAAAAAAGGCAAAAAGAAACAGCAGCAATTTACAAAACAAACAACAAACCTCAATTGAACTATAGTGGCACCTCCTTCTACGGCAGCTTTCACAGCATCAGTGATGGAACGGCCCCACTTTTTGTTCATCCTTGGGTCGGTGACAGCATATAAGAGAAGATCATTTGGATCAAATGGTCGGTGCCCAGAAAGCTTCATGTCATTATTCTTGAGCTTCATCATATGGTCAAAAGGACCTTGACAGCCATTACCTATAAGAATGTCCTTGCTATAATCCAAGGCTGTCTCAACATAGCGTTTAGCTGTCTAAAGAACAGA